GTTTTGCCACACTCTTGACATTTGTAGATTTTCTCTGCAGAGTGAATTCTTCGATGTCTAGTAAGGGATGAACTATCATTAAAGGCTTTGCTACATTCTTGACATGTGTAGGGTTTCTTTCCAGAGTGAATTCTTTGATGTACAGAAAGGCTTGAGTAATGGTTAAAGGTTTTACCACATTTTTGACACTTGTAGGGTTTCTCTCCAGAGTGAATTCTTTGATGTGCAGAAAGGTGTGAGTGCCGGTAAAAGGCTTTGCCACATTCTTGACATTTGTAGGGTTTCTCTCCAGAGTGAATTCTTTGATGTACAGAAAGGCCTGAGTGCTGGGTAAAGGCTTTGCCACATTCTTGACATTTGTAGGGTTTCTCACCAGAGTGAATTCTTTGATGTACAGAAAGGTGTGTGTGTCGGTTAAAGGTTTTGCCACATTCTTGGCATTTATAAGGTTTCTCTCCAGAGTGAATTCTTCGATGTTCAGAGAGGTTTGAGTACCAGTTAAAGGTTTTCCCACACTCTTGACATTTGTAGGATTTCTCTCCAGAGTGAATTCTTCGATGTACAGAAAGTCCTGAGTGCCAGGTAAAGGCTTTGCCACAGTCTTGGCATTTGTAGGGTTTCTCTGCAGAGTGAATTCTTTTATGTTTAGTAAGAGATGAACTGACATTAAAGGATTTGCCACACTCTTGGCATCTGTAGGGTTTCCCTCCAGAGTGAATACTCTGATGTACAGAAAGGCTTGAGTAATCGTTAAAGGCTTTGCCACATTCTTGGCATTTGTAGGGTTTCTCTCCAGAGTGAATTCTTTGATGTCTAGAAAGGTGTGCATGCTGGTTAAAGGCTTTGTCACATTCTTGACATTTGTAGGGTTTCTCTCCAGAGTGAATTCTTTTATGTTTAGTAAGAGATGAACAGTCATTAAAGGCTTTGCCACACTCTTGACATGTGTAGGGTTTCTCCCCAGAGTGAATTCTTTGATGTACAGAAAGGCTTGAGTAATGGTTAAAGGCTTTGGCACATTCTTGACATTTGTAGAGTTTCTCTCCAGAGTGAATTCTTTGATGTACAAAAAAGTTTGAGTACCAGTTAAAGGTTTTACCACACTCTTGACATTTGTAAGGTTTCTCTCCAGAGTGAATTCTTTGATGTACAGAAAGGCTTGAGTACTGCTTAAAGGTTTTACCACACTCTTGACATTTGTAGGGTTTCTCTCCTGAATGAATTCTTTGATGTCTAGAGAGGAGTGAGTGGCTCATAAAGGCTTTACCACATTCTTCACATTGGTATGATTTCCCTCCAGAATGAAGTACTTTATGTACAGAAAGGTTTGAGTAATGTTTAAAGGCTCTGCCACAGTCATGACATTTGTAGTGTTTCTCTCTGGAATGAATTCTTTTATGGCCATAAATGTGTGAGTACTTCTTGGTAAGTTTGTCACATTCCTCATATTTGTAAGGTTTTTCTCCAATATTCAAAATCTTATGGTTACCATACTTTGACATGTGGTTAAGACATTTGCCATCATTTTCATACTTCTTGAGTTTCTCTCCAGGATAGAGTCTTGAGCAAGATCGGAAGACTTGGCTACGTTCTTTGCATTTGTATTGTTTTTCTCCAGTATTTGTTATCTTATGTTCTGTGATGTGTGAGCAAAGTTTAGAGGCCTTCTCATACCTTTTACATTTAAAAGTTTTCCCTAAGGTATATATCATCTGTCTATGTAGATGTGACAAATGTCTGAAGACTTTGCCATGGGTAGCTGTTACACATTTGTCATTTCCACTGTAACATACTTTCTGCTGCTTACACTCATACACACCTTCCCAGTCTTTTGTAAAGTTTAAATTCTCAGGGCCACAGCTTTGATATCCACTCAGGATCATCTCTGGAAATAAAATATTTGTGCCCAGCTCTTGCAAATGGTCTTGGGTAGAATGATTAGGTAGAGCTGAAAAAAATTTAAACAGTAACAATTTTAGCCACTTGCTTTGTATCAGCATCCAGTAAATATACATTACACATTTTATCTGCAAAATCATGTTAAGAACATTAGGAAGATGCCGTAATACAGTAGAGAGGCACCAATTATCTTAAAGAGAAATAAATGTTGCATGTATACACTGCATATGGGGGAATTCCGAAAACCAGGTAAGAATATGCAGCACAACAGGTAAGCAGAAGTTGTAGAGCTAATGTAGAGGCAGGGAATTGGATCACGTATCTAATCCTAGAACTCAGGGACACTGATGTGAATAGATCACTTGAGCACAGGTGTTTGAGATCAACCTGAGCAAAAGTGAGACTTCATCTGGATTGGCAACTGTAGCAAAGTGACTAATGTGGCAGCCACATACACTGGAAACGTAAGGTTCAAATACAGCTCCCGGCTGCCAAACAACAATGACAACCAAAAACTAGCTAGGCAATGGGCTGAGCGAATGTAATCCCAGCTACTCCTGGCTGTGGCAAGAGAATCGCTTAAGCCCAAGAGTTGGAGGTTGCTATGAGTTGTTATTCCACAATACTCTACCCAGGGCTACAGCTTGAGACTCTGTTTCAAAAAAAAAAAAAAAAAAAAAAAAAAAGTGAGACCCTTCCCCAACTCTACCACAAATAGTAAAATTAGTCTGGCGCAGTGGCACATGCCTCTAGTCAAAGCAACTTGTGAGGCTGAGGGAAGATCTCTTGTGCCCAGAAGATTGAGAATGCTGTGAGCTATGACAACACAGCATTCTTCCCAGGGTGACAATTACTTAGGCTGAAATAAATGAATAAATAAATAGATACATACATACATTTATACAGTGTGTATAGGTATATACACAAATATATTTCTAAAATAAAAGGAAAAATCATCAATAATAATAATGAAAGAGCCAAGGAGAATAAGAAGAAAAATTTGTTATATTTACCCCCACCACAGAATTTATGCCATCTTAATAAAGAATGGTGAAAATGGAAGTAATCTAAATCCTAGCTTTGCCCTCATAAGGAAAAGAGTAACATGTGTGTTAATCCTTCTTGCTTTTGAGGGTGTTTCCAAAAAAAGGTTGCTGTCTCTCATCAGTGAGACTGCTGAAAGGAATGGTGCTATAGTTTGTAAGATAGACTGGGGATGCTGAATTCAAAGGTAAAGTATTATTATAGCAGCAGAGACTCCAATGTAACAGAGAGATTCACGTCTAGCAAGTGATGAGAAACTCTTAAGAGGACATGTGGAAAAATGCTTCAACTGAAAAATAACCATTCATTTCCACAGGCAAAACACTGTCCCAGTGTACAGTTCTCCCTTGTTTAGTACAATGTGTGTCAGAGTCTTGCACAATACAGCCATATCACAATGTTTGTGAAAGGTGGCTTTTCTAATCCTCACAAATCAGTGAAAGCTTACAACATATTCAAAATGTTAGGGGGACATAACTATAGAACCTAAAACAGAAAAAAAATCTTGAATTAACCATAAAAAATACAGATATCTAAATTACCGTGAAATTTTATGTGAATAGTGCTAAGTGCATCAAATAGAAATGATACAGACAACTAAGTAAAATCAGAAAAATGAAGGTACCAAACACAAGGAAAATAACTGAGCAGTCTCAAATGTAAGAAAAAAGGTATAAAGTATGAAGAAACTTCATGGTAATAGGTCTATATTTACAATATAATAAGATGTAATTGTTGACATCAATAACAAAATCCAGTGCAGATGTAAAAAAAAAATAATTGTCAACAGTAAGCTTTTCTCTTTCAAAAGTTATACAAATAATTCACAGTAATTTCTTCTCTTTCAAAAACTACGTACACATGACTGGGTGGGGTGGCTCATACATGCAATCCTAGCACTCTCACAGGTTGAGGCAGGTGGATTGCTTGAGCCTCTGAGTTCCAATTCAGCCTGAGCAAAATTGAGACCCTGTCTCTACTAAAAGTAGAAAAACTGAGACAAGAAGATCGCTTGAAACTAAGAGTTGAAGGTTGCCCTGAGCTATGATGATAGCATGGGCTTTCTTTTCTACTCATGGTGACAGCTTGAGACTCAATTTCAAGAAAAAAAAAAAAAAATTACATACAAATTTATAGACTAAGCTTCACAATGAAATGACAGACATTAAATAAAGATTGGGAGGACAGGTACAGTGGATCATGCCTTCAATCCCAGGACTCTTGTATCCAAGGTGGGTGGATTTCTTGAGCTCCTGGGTTCAGACCAGCCTGAACAAGTGAGAGAGACCCTGTCTATACAATATCTGGGTGTTCTGGCTAGTACCTTAGTATAAGCAACTCCAGAGGCTGAGGCAAAAGGATCACTTCAGCCCAGGAAGTTGAGGTTGTTTTGAGCTATGAGGCCATGGCACTATTCTGGGGGCAACAATATGAGACTCTGTCTCAATAAAATAAAATAAAATGACTAAAGATAGGGATTTAAAAACTAAAAAATCAAAATCCAACTCTATATTTGATGCTCATCTTACATGTAATGACAAACATGGAATAAAAAATGACAGGACAGAAAGGTATTTGACCAGGTCCAGTGGCTCATGGCTGTCATCCCAACACTCTGGGAGGCCAAGGTGGGTAGACAGCTTGAACTCATGGGTTTGAGACCAGCTTTAGCAAAAAGTGAGACCCTGTCTCTACTAAGAATAGAAAAAATGAGGCAAGAGGATCCCTTGAGCCCAAATTTGGAAGCTTCTGTGAGGTATGACACCACGGCACTCTCCCCAGAGTAACAGTTTCAGAGTCTGTCTCAAAAAAAAAAAA